CTATCCCCCTCAACCATATTCAACCACGACAAAACCCTAAACCCCGTATCTATCTTTTCCACCCTCCTTTTCGCAGCCTCCTCCTGACGTTCAAAAAAATCTCTCCACTCCTCCCGTTTTACATGCGCCCTCCTTGTTCTCCTTCTCTCCCCCCTCTCCATATCTCTATAATTCTTCTTGCTTATTTCCATCCTACTGCTTTCTTTTCTCAAATGACTTGTTGTTTCTTTTCACTCCCTTATATGCCTTTTCTTCCCTTTAACTCCCCGAAACTTGATATACCCTACCCTACCTAACCCTAAAATAAGTCAATAAAAAGGCATATTTGACTCTCAAATGGACTTTATTTGATCTTTTCAGTCTCCAAGATAGCAGGTTTGGACAAGTCACCCAAAATTTGCAACTTTTTCACTCTTTTTTCAGCAAAATTTTTTAAAAGCCATTTTTATGTCTCAAAAACCTTTGCCCTATTGTTAGAACCACTGTCAATAATACCTGCCCTATTGTTAGAACTATGACCTAGATTTAAAAATGTCCTAATAATGTCCCAATAACCTGCCCCACTGCTAGAACTATGATAAAAATTGGAAAAAAACTACCAAGTCCAAGAGTCCAAGAACAAACGGTCTTTTCTAAGTGTCTCAAGAACTTGAATTTTTGCATGCAGATAGGTGTGTCCGAGTTACGTCCAGGGCCCAAAGAGCAGATTCCTGCAACGATTTCAAAAGCCTAAATAAGGCCGGTCAAGTTGCAGAGTCTAAGAACAAACGCCGACTTCCAAGGGTCTTGGAGTCTGGAATTTTTGCATGGAAGCATGTCTGGTCCAATGGTGTTTAGCGCCCAAGGAAGGAAATTCAGAAATGTTTCTCAGAAAGGCCTTGTTCTGGGCCATTTTTATGTCTCAAAAACCTTTGCCCTATTGTTAGAACCACTGTCGATAATACTTGCCCTATTGTTAGAACCCTAAACTATAAGGTGAAAAAACCTGCCCCCTTGCTAGAACTAATGTTCCAAAAACCTGCCCTGCTTTGATATCCGCTAACCCAATTTAGCCAAACTTGGTTCCTATTGACCCCTATTGCCAGGCTCCTGGTTCTTTGATGCCAATGTCTGGCACATCATTCGAGAGGGCTTTGAAAGCCCTATCCAAGTGCAGAGCGACGCCGAGATTCCTGCTACTAACCAATCACAAACCTCCAAAAAATGCAGGTAGTAGGCAAGCTATACACCAAGTCTTGAAGCTTCTCTTTATATTCCTATATAGCTGAGTTTTGGAGTTAGAAAGCTGAAATTTCGCAGACATATAGATGTACTATCTGACTACATGCCTGTGACATTTCAGCTCCGAACTTGAAAATTCGTCGAGTTATGGCCCTTGACTGGAGCTTGGTCAACTTTCCACTTTCCAAGCTTATATCTCAGCAACTAAGGCTTCAATTGACATGCGGTTAATTTTATCATCTACGGGAACCATTTCTGCGTCATACTACCAAGTTTCATTCATATGGCTTCAGTAGTTTTCTCTACAGATATAGCGCACGATTTCGACTATGTGTCTAGAACCTGCTTTTCCTGTTTAGCGTCCACATGACATTTCGGACTTGAGTTTTTCTACTTGATCTGGTCATTTGCCATTATTCTAAAGCCAATGACACCAAGTTTTTTCCAAATCCAACTACAACTTTTCTTGAGAGTGACTTTTTTGGAGGGCCATTTTCACTTGGTTCTTAAAGGGGTAAAATTTAGACTTTGCAACTTGAATTTTTATGAGCTATTAGCTGATTGAGTCTACTTTAAGGTCCTCAAATTTCAAAAAGATCCAACTTGTACTTTTGGAGTAATAAGCCTTACAAGTAGCCAACCCCTCTTTGTGCCCAAGCCTTTTTGGACTTGAAAATTTTCCATTTTTTTTTTTTTTCCTTTTTTTTGGTTTTTTACCTTCTAATTATGTGTATGATGACTTTCTCGTGTTCAAAATGGTGCTATTTTAGTTTTAAAGTGCTCTTTGATAGTTTTCAGGCAGCAAGTTCATCTGATGGCACCGCGCTTTGACGTCAGACATGGCACTGTCATTCCGCAGCTAAGTGCCAAGTTTGGTGTCCGTTGGATAATTAGGCGAGAAATGAGAGCGAAAAAGATTGGTCATTGAAAACGCGTTTTCTCAGAAAACACTTTTTTTCATTCTTTTTGTCTAAAACAACTAATGCAAATCCTCTACCTAACCCGAAAGAAGACTCTAAAGGCAGCTAGACCTTGTTTGCACAGAAATAGACATATGGCCATCCCTACCTAACCCTAAAACAAGTCCCAAAACTATCATATTGGATATTGGATTTCTCTTTGATGCGAGCAATTTTTTCTGGTCAATTTCTAAATTTTGGTCATTTTGGCCAATGTTTCATGTCAATAAAACCTGCCCCACAGTAAGAACTAGTGTCATTGATGTCTCTAATACCTTGCCCCATTGCTGGAACCCATACAACTGTTTTCCTTATCTGAACATCCAATGCCAATCTGCAGGCCAATTGCTGCGGTTCATATTTCTTCGAAATAATTTTCTCAACTTGCATGCCAAATTTCAAAGTCCTCCTACACTTCTTTCTGTTTTTTTTTTCTCTTTGTCCTATTTGTTCTTTCTTCAATGTAATCTCTTTTCAGGCCTTAAAGACACAGTTTTGAGGCCAGGTTGTTGAAATTTGGCTTGCAAGTCTGTCTGGATGGTACCATGGACCATGCCAAATTTCAACTTTCTGCTGGCATTTTTCACCTTTTTTCTGTCTGAGCACAAGTCAACAGCAGCCTTTTGTCACTTTTACCTTGCCCTTTTTTAGAACCCACATTGTCTACAGTGGATGTCACTATTACCTTGCCCTGTGCTAGAACTACTGTTAAGAAAAGCACCCCAAAAAGCACTTTTCCAGGCAGTCAGCAGCATGAAACTTGACGGCCTTCTTCGCATTCATCAACTCCACCAGGCTATGCTTTTTCAACTTTCTCACTCCAAATCTTGTCTCTTTTCTAAGCCTTGAGCTTGTGTTTTGCAATCTTTTTGGCTTTTTTCACTACTTGAAATGGTCTGATCAACCTGAAATTTCAACTCTTAATAGTTCTTGTCCTTCTCATCTCAACCCAACAAGTTTGGTTCAAATCGGTCGACTTTGACATTTTTTCACTTTTTTTTTTACCAAGTCCAATACTTAGCTCTACTTACTTGGTTGACAGAAATGAAAATATTCTTCGATTGACTTGAAACTTTGCATACCGATGCACTTTGCAATTCTCTATCGATCTGTGCAAGTTTCAGCTCCCTAGCTTGAAGTCTTGTCGAAACGTTGTGTCAACAAAAATGGAAAATGTCTCAAAAACCCATGTTTCTGACCTTTGGGGCAATATTTTGACTGCACATGCGCAAAGCCAATCGACTCCACTATTCGTTCCTGCAAGTCTGCGATTCCCCAACTAACTTCAAGTGTCCCGTTGCCACGCTTCTTTACTTGTTGCAAAGTCTTAGCAACCCAGAACAAGATGCAGGCCGATTCTGCGCATATTGAAATTTGCAGAACTAAAGTCACCATTGGCATCCCAAAAATACCACTTGGAACCTTGATCGGCTCCACTTCATTTTCCATGCCTCCAAAGGTGAAAACTCAGTCAAAATGACCTCAAGTTGCCATCTATTTATGACTTCCGGAAGTTGAAATTTTGGCTACCCCCCCATTTTCGGGTCTGCCCCACCCATCCGTTTTGGTCCCATCTCTTGCCCTCTATTGGCTGAGCTTCCGTGGCACCTAAATTCAAAGTGTCACAATCCAAATGGCCGTTAGTGCATTGTACGGGGTTTGAATTTCCCTCCAAAATAACTTTTTTTAAAGTGGGTCACATCTTGGCGTGTTGGGTTCTAGGGCACAGGTTTTTGCGACATCAAGTTTTCCATTGAACAATGACCTTATTTTTATGACGTGACCTAACGGGGCTTTTAATTTTGAGTTCAAAACACCTTTGACCTTTGGGGCAAGTTGACGCAAAAACCGAGTTAGACATACCTTATTTTACGGGTTTTTGCGACAAAAAACCTTGGTTCTAGACAAATCCTTGGTATTTGCGACAGGTTTTTCCCCAAACCCCTAAACGAGCCCGAAGTTCACCTACCCCTAGTCCAGCAGACATAGGTAAACGCTCTCGTAGAGAGGGCACACCCTTCTCTTTTCACTTTCAGACTCGTCTTCCCCTTTGGTTCCCCGTTATTTTTTCTAATTTCAGATCAGAATAAGAACAGAAGAAAACCCAATATCAAGACCCTTAATCCTAATTTCTAAATAAAGTGTCTGCTCCACCCTAGGCCTGTACATTTGGGAGAATCAAACCCTCCCTTCCCCGAAATCTAATACTGTCCGTGCCAGGCCAGATCAGACAATTTATTTTGACTTTGGTATATTTTATTTCATCTTATATATATTTTATTTTTTTTGTATATATTGTATATGTTAGGATTTTGACATTTGTTTCTCGTGCATATAACAAACTTTCTTCAAAAAAATTTGCATTAATCTTTTAATCTAACCAAGTAAATTTAATTGCCATTATTTATGTTTTTCTTTCATGTAAATTATACTCCGAGATAATCCATCCATTTAAATTACTACTCAAAATTCAAAGTTAGTTCTAATCAATTTACAATTCACTAATCCCGCTTATTTTATCAAATATTTCTCATGTTTATTTATTTTATATTTTTGTATTCTTGATTTCTGATTATTTATGTTTTTCATTTATGTAAATTGTACTCTGAGATAATCTAATCCTCCTGAATTATTACTCAGATATAATCAAAATCTAATCCAATATTTCTATAATCCTCAACTGATCAAAGATATGACTCAACTAATTAAGAAATCAAAAATAATCCTAATCCTCAACTGATCAAAGATATGACATGATTCACTCAATAATTTTTAGAAAATCAAAAACCTGTATTAACTGACTACTATATAAATCGCAAATTAAATCTCATTTCATAACCATTCCTCGACACTTGAAAAAGGATAATATTTCGAAAACGCGGTTCGTGTCAATTGCGTAAGTTTTTGTTTTACTTG